GATATTATTTTCCTGGATAGTTTTACATCTGTGTAATAAAAACACATTACTGTAAGAGAGCTATAAATGGACTACATAATTTTCCTAGACTAAATAAAGTATTTAGTACAGGAGAGCTATGAATGTATTCAACACAAAATTGTAAATTTACTTAAATTATGAATTTTTTTTTCTTTGTAAGTTGATTGCATGGTTCTTGAAAATAAACTGTGTAGGTGACATCATGTGAAATTCTTTATTACAACTCATGTCTAATAATCCACCTACTTTTGGTGGGGAACCAGCACCTTGCTACATAGCCCTGACTGACCTAAAATTCAAGCAATCCTCACGCCTTGGCCTAAGTGCTAAACGGCAGGATGCACCATCATACCAAGCTCTAATCTACCTTCTAAATATCTCTAAATTGTCCACTTCTCTGGGTTGGTTTTTTTTTTTTTTTTTTTTTTTTTTTTGAGACAGGGTCTCTCTGTAGCCCCTGCTGGCCTGGAACTCACTATGTAGACCAGGCTAGCCTCAAACTCAGAGCTCTACCTGCCTCTGCCTCCCAAGTGGTAGGATTAAAGTTATGCACCACCACACCCAGCCTCACCTTTCTGAATTCTTTTTTTCAAAATATTTTATTTATTATTTTTAATTTTATTTTATGTGCATGATTGTATTGCCTGCATGTATGTAAGTACCCCCATGTCATGCAATGCCCACAGAGATCAGAAGAGGGTGGCAGACCCCCTGGAATTGGAGTTATGGATGGTTGTTAGCTACCACATGGGTGCTGGGGATTAAACCCAGGTCTTGCAGAGGACACGTTCAGTTCCAAGAACCTATATTGGTGGCTAACAATATCATGTAACTCCAGCTATAGGGATCTGATGCCTTCTTCAGACTCTCAGGTACACTCCCACACACACATGCATATCATGATTAAAAAATTTAAATAAATCTGTAATTTTTTTTAATTAAAAAAAACTTTTACTTAGATGCATTCAGAATGTCAACAAAACAGCTGCATATTTTTGTTTTGCAATTACAGAGGGGTATCCAGTTAACAGGACAATTATTTTTGTATAAGCTGCATCAGACAACTGAAGATGAAAAACCTACCATCCCCACATACGACTGATCTGTGCTGTGCACCAAGAACCTGCTTTAAATTCCCATGCCAATTTACACCCCGTACTGTACCAGGCAAGGTTAGTGGCTAAGGAAAATACCTCCAGGACAGGGCTATCTAAAGACATATTCGGTGGTGTGTTAAATTATACAGAAAGAGACACTGTACAGTTTAAAAACAAATCTTACATCGCCTTACGGTGCAACTTTTTCTTTAAAAGGAGTGAGCTGTGTACAGGGGATTAAACGCTTTACAGACAAGAAAAAAAAAAAACTGCGCTAGAACTTCCTCCTAGTCTCCACCTTCCTCGTCTCCATTTCCTCCTCGTCTCCACCTCCCTCCTCGTCTCCATTTCCTCCTCGTCTCCCCCTTCCTCCTCGTCTCCATTTCCTCGTCTCCCCCTTCCTCCTCGTCTCCACCTTCCTCCTCGTCTCCCTTTCCTCCTCGTCCCCACCTTCCTCCTCGTCTCCATTTCCTCCTCGTCTCCCCCTTCCTCCTCGTCTCCATTTCCTCGTCTCCCCCTTCCTCCTCGTCTCCACCTTCCTCCTCGTCTCCCTTTCCTCCTCGTCCCCACCTTCCTCCTCGTCTCCATTTCCTCCTCGTCTCCCCCTTCCTCCTCGTCTCCATTTCCTCGTCTCCCCCTTCCTCCTCGTCTCCACCTTCCTCCTCGTCTCCCTTTCCTCCTCGTCCCCACCTTCCTCCTCGTCTCCATTTCCTCCTCGTCTCCCCCTTCCTCCTCGTCTCCATTTCCTCGTCTCCCCCTTCCTCCTCGTCTCCACCTTCCTCCTCGTCTCCCTTTCCTCCTCGTCCCCACCTTCCTCCTCGTCTCCATTTCCTCCTCGTCTCCCCCTTCCTCCTCGTCTCCATTTCCTCGTCTCCCCCTTCCTCCTCGTCTCCACCTTCCTCCTCGTCTCCCTTTCCTCCTCGTCCCCACCTTCCTCCTCGTCTCCATTTCCTCCTCGTCTCCCCCTTCCTCCTCGTCTCCATTTCCTCGTCTCCCCCTTCCTCCTCGTCTCCACCTTCCTCCTCGTCTCCCTTTCCTCCTCGTCCCCACCTTCCTCCTCGTCTCCATTTCCTCCTCGTCTCCCCCTTCCTCCTCGTCTCCATTTCCTCGTCTCCCCCTTCCTCCTCGTCTCCACCTTCCTCCTCGTCTCCCTTTCCTCCTCGTCCCCACCTTCCTCCTCGTCTCCATTTCCTCCTCGTCTCCCCCTTCCTCCTCGTCTCCATTTCCTCGTCTCCCCCTTCCTCCTCGTCTCCACCTTCCTCCTCGTCTCCCTTTCCTCCTCGTCCCCACCTTCCTCCTCGTCTCCATTTCCTCCTCGTCTCCCCCTTCCTCCTCGTCTCCATTTCCTCGTCTCCCCCTTCCTCCTCGTCTCCACCTTCCTCCTCGTCTCCCTTTCCTCCTCGTCCCCACCTTCCTCCTCGTCTCCATTTCCTCCTCGTCTCCCCCTTCCTCCTCGTCTCCATTTCCTCGTCTCCCCCTTCCTCCTCGTCTCCACCTTCCTCCTCGTCTCCCTTTCCTCCTCGTCCCCACCTTCCTCCTCGTCTCCATTTCCTCCTCGTCTCCCCCTTCCTCCTCGTCTCCATTTCCTCGTCTCCCCCTTCCTCCTCGTCTCCACCTTCCTCCTCGTCTCCCTTTCCTCCTCGTCCCCACCTTCCTCCTCGTCTCCATTTCCTCCTCGTCTCCCCCTTCCTCCTCGTCTCCATTTCCTCGTCTCCCCCTTCCTCCTCGTCTCCACCTTCCTCCTCGTCTCCCTTTCCTCCTCGTCCCCACCTTCCTCCTCGTCTCCATTTCCTCCTCGTCTCCCCCT